CCAATCCAAATCCTCAAGAAGCTTAAACGAATGGGTTTCAAGGGCCAACTCCAAGCTTTCCACTTGGAAACATTGAAGAGATGAAAAGAAAAAATATCATAAAATCTTCACTTGAATCCTCAAATCTCACACATGATATTCACTCGCGAGTTTTTCCCTACTTTTCTTCTTGGCAAAAATCACATGGTAAGTCTTCCCACTCAAATCTTTATATCATAACAAATGCATGCAAATATGTGGCCTATAGGTTCGATATTTCGACCACAATATTGTTGCTGTTAAGCCATCTAAAACTTTATTAATTGCAAATTATGAGTCTTCATATAGCATATTAATCTTATACATTTTGATGTAGCAATTGATCTTAACCATGATGATTTTTGCTTGTTATAGGTAAAGTATTTGTGTATTGGCTAGGGACGGAACCGTTTTTGTACATTGCAGATGCAGAATTCTTGAAGAAAATGTCAACAGAAGTAATGGCAAAGAGATGGGGAAAACCTAATGTTTTTAGAAATGATAGAGATCCCATGTTTGGAAGTGGTTTGGTCATGGTAGAGGGAAATGATTGGGTTCGACATCGTCACATTGTTGCACCAGCATTCAATCCTCTTAACCTCAAGGTATATCTCTCTCAATATTCTTTCCTTAATATAATGGAATTTGTAGGAAAAATTGTCCACATTCAGCATTTTGAATGTACAAGAAGAGAAATTTGAACTTGGTTGAATATTCAACCTTTTTACTATTTTCATCACCAACCCATTAAGTAAGTAATCACATATTATCAATAGGAAATTAATAATATATAAGTAATGCCTCCACCAGACAAATTGATTAAAGATGGCTCATATATTACAGCTTTTTTTAGAAAATAAATTAAACAAGATAATTTAGATTTATTTTGCTTTGGCCACAAGAATATTCTAATTAATTTTACATTATATATTGGGCAATATTGTGATATAGGTGATGGCAAACATGATGATTGAGTCTACAAATCAAATGATAAATAAATGGACTAACCAAATAAACTTTGGCAACCTTGAAATTGATGTGGAGAAAGAAATTATAACAATAGCTGGAGAGATTATAGCAAAAACAAGTTTTGGTGTGGAAGATGAAAATGCTAAAGAGGTTTTTAACAAATTAAGAGCCTTACAGATGACTCTCTTTAACACCACTAGATATGTTGGTGTTCCATTTGGCAAGTTTTTTAATGTCAAAAATGACTTGGAGGCTAAGAAACTTGGCAAAGAAATAGACAAGCTCTTATTGTCAATTGTAGAATCTAGGAAAAATTCAACTAATAAGAGTTCTCAAAAAGACTTATTAGGGTTATTGCTACAAGAAAACAATCATGTTGATCGATTGGGAAAGACATTAACATCAAGAGAAGTGGTTGATGAGTGCAAAACTTTCTTTTTTGGTGGACATGAAACAACAGCACTTGCTATCACATGGACTTTGTTGCTTCTAGCCATGCATGAAGATTGGCAGAATGAATTAAGAGAAGAGATTAAACAAGTGGTGGGAAATAATGAGATTGATATCACTATGTTTGCTGGTTTAAAGAAGGTAAATAAAATTGTTGATATATAGTAAAGTAAATTTAAGTTTGTTCAATTTTTTAAAAAATATGTATAAGCTTATATATATATTATGTGTGCTCCTCCAATATGCAGATGAAGTGGGTGATGAATGAAGTTCTAAGACTATACCCACCAGCACCAAATGTGCAAAGACAAGCAAGAGAAGACATTCGAGTTGATGATGTAACAGTGCCTAACGGAACAAACATGTGGATCGATGTTGTAGCGATGCACCACGATCCTAAATTATGGGGAGAAGATGTGAATGAGTTCAAACCAGAGAGGTTCATGGATGATGTGAATGGTGGATGCAAACACAAAATGGGGTATTTGCCATTTGGATTTGGAGGGAGAATGTGTGTGGGTAGAAACTTGACATTTATGGAGTATAAGATAGTATTAACAACACTTCTCTCTAATTTTAGTTTTAAGGTTTCACCAAGTTACCATCATTCACCAGCCATCATGCTCTCCCTTAGGCCTACTCATGGACTTCCACTCATAGTTGAACCCCTTAATTAGGATATGCTATATCTTCAACTAAACTTTATAAAACTGAAGGACTTAAATATATAGTTCAGCAACCTTCAGAATATATACAAGTCAAATATTGAATCCTAGAGGTATAGTTTAGATGAGCCTAGTTTCGGTTATTGAGAAGCCAATTTTTTAGCAAAAATTCCTTTGTTTGCTTTTATCATGGTACATGTATGCTGAAAATTACTTTAATAATATCCACGATTTTTTCCTATGTGCATTCAATGACTTTGATAGATCTATACATATTTATCAACTCATTGTATAAAATAAAAAAAACTCTGCACTAAAAAGAGTAATTAATATAACCTTCAATTTTTAAAATAATAGATATAAAAAAAATCAAAGATACAGACTTAAAAAAGAACAGAAAGGAATATGTATATATGACTATTACTTTTGTCCTTACTACTTAAACTAATAGTATGCAAAGGATATGGTATGAAATAAAAATCCAATCAGCTGTTCTGAAAATGATCCCAACAGATACTGGATTCTAAATTTAAAATATTGAATATCAAGAACTATCATGAGAAAAAGAAATATTGGCATCCGAGTTAATTCTGATTATTAAACAAATGTAAAATGAGGTGGCATCCCTTGAAGCGGATGTGACGGAAACTCCAAAAAAAAACATGATTCAATACCTAAGAAGTCTTAAAACTTAGGCTGACGCAACTGCAGAGGAATGCCATCCCACAACAAATTGTTTCACAGATGAAAGGCCCTAGAAAAGAGGCAAGGTAGGGGGGAAACGCACAAGCATCCATTGTCTCTCATATGTAGCTAAATGAGTCCATCCAATTTCTTCAAGCAAAGAGAGCTTTAGTTCATACAGTTTCTTCTTGGCAGGCTCTGTGTCATCTTGAATTATGTCAGTTAGTACCTGCATCCAGTTGAAAAACAAGGTTCTAATAAGATTAATATCATCATTTATTTAAGAAATGACACTTTCTCAATACTCTTTGATCATCAACTAGAATGACACTTCAAGAAACAAGAAAAAGAATAGAGCTATTTCATAAAAGTGGTGGAAAAGTGACGTGTTTGAAGAGAGTACATAACTAATATACCTAAAACTTATGACGGTTAAATAGCTACGATTTTTAGCAGATATACTGCTGGTCAGAGTTATTATTATGACAGTGTTAGACTCTAATTAGAACTACTCAACATTCTTTTTTCTTCCTCAAACTTTTCCATTTTCTTTAAGTTCCTGAGTACAGTTTTTCAGGAATTGCTGCCTAGACTGTGTTATTTTTGCACAACACTTCTTTTAAAATGATTTAATTTTTTTCTGAAAAACTAGAGAATCCTACTATTCAGGTTACTCCCTACTGCTATTCCAGTGGCTTTGTAAAGTGGCTAGAGAAATCTCTGGACTCAAATATAAACAAAAAAGTAGTCATAGTAGGTGTTCCAAAATATAAATAACTCACTCCTATTTAATGCTATAACTCTCACAATATCTTTCAATAAAACAAGTTTTCATGCAAAATTTAATGAAAAGAAATGATAGTCTGAGAAATACAATTGATTTTTATTACATCAAGAAAATTAAATGAGGTTAATCACAATTCTTAACCTGTGTACTTGATTACTTTTACTTGGAATTGAGTTCGGAGGGAGTATATTGAGTTTGGAGGGAGTATATGACAAAGGGAGAAGGGAAAGAAAAGATTCTGTTACATAACAAGACTCTGCAAAGGAAAATACCTTCAATGCTGTTCCAAGCCTTTGACTGCGCCTCTCGTGTGTCACCAACAGGATCCCATACTTTGTGCACTTAACATCAACCCACTTCTTCAGTTCCTTAAAGTTCTCATCAAACGAATCTGGATGAACACCATTGTCCTTCGATTGCTCGTCAGGTTTCGCACCTTCTGTTGCAGCCGAAGCCAGGGAATTTTCTAATTCCTTTAACAATGTACAGGTCAAGCTGTTAGCTTTCATTTGAAAACCAATAAATGTCACTAATATCATTATTATGAAAAGCTTTTAATTAAAAACCATAACACCCAGATACACTCTTTTGAATTCTATATAGCACGAGGCAAAATCATAAAAACTAAAGTTGGACATGAACTAATGTAATTTCAAACTCAGGAAGATTAGCATTTATTAATGTCTGTGGTTTGTTTTCGAGAAAGGGGAAAATTTGCCTCAGCATACAGAGCTGTTTCATTAATGTTGGAGTTACAAACATGTAACAAGTAATATTTTACAATATCATACATTGATTTAAATAATATAAAAGTTCTAACCTTTAAAGACTCTATTTCGGCCAGTGCAAGCCCCTTTTGGTAAAGTGCCTCTGCTAAGTGGTCCCTGGTTGATTCCAGGTTTTTCTTGGTTTTCTGTTGTGAGATTAAAATATCATCAATTGCCAACAAAATGCAAACTAAAAAACAATCGTGTAAGTATTAAATGCAGTACCAAAATTTATTTATCCAAGCAGAATGAGGTTTCATAATAAATTTAGCTAAACAACTATTGATCAAACATCTTACACATTTTTGGTGTATAAAAATGTTTAAAGTATCACTTCATTATTTTCAGTGAAACTGTTGCATGACGGGACGGGATTGTCTCCCATGAACTTTTCACTGGAGGAGATCCAGTGTAAATCCTCACCTTCCAATTGTTTTTTTAAATAATTAATTGCATGTTTTTGAAGAAAAGAAGGGTAGAGATTTCACTGAAAACAAATTTAACGGGAGAGTATCAATCCCTGTTGCATGACAATCTTCTATTAGGGATGTCAGTTTGGACCTGTTAATGGGGATCCCCGCGGGGAACGCCCCGTTCGGGGCCCCAAAGATGGGGAATTTTCCCCCGTGGGGGCGGGGATGGGGAGAAAAATTCCCCCGAGAGCATTTTGGGGACGGGGACGGGGAATACACCCCCCGCCCCGCGGGGACCCCGCCCCGCCTATTATTTTAATATAGTTAATTTAATATATATATTTTAGATTAGGTTTTTTAGTCATTTCCTTTATGTTTATTTATAAAAATAAATAAATAAATATTCATGTATTTATTAAAATAATAAATGTCAAATACTAGTATTTTTTAATAACATAATAAATATGTGAATTCTTTGTGCTTTTTATTTTTATAGAAAATATAAACATTTTAAAAAAATAAAATATTAATGAATAAATGTAGGATCTATGGGGATCCCCGCGGGGAACGGGGATCCGCGGGGAACGGGGATGGGGATAGAAATTCCCCCGTGACGGAGATCGGGGACGGGGACGGGGAATGAATTTGATGGCGGGGAAAAAGATGGAGAAGTGTCCCCCCGGCCCCGCCCCGCTCCATTGACATCCCTATCTTCTATAATGTGAGTATAATAAGTCAAGTACCAAAAGTCATAGTTGCAAAATCTTCGGAGCAAATAGCACTCCAATGCAGAGTCAACTTTATGCATTAGAATCCTCGAGTTAAAATATTAACTGCAGATAAACTGAATCGTATAGTATTGTATTTTAAACAATTAAATAAATCACATAAATATAGTTACACATATTCTAACCATTGGATTTAACTTCATGGGTGTGCAACTACATAAGATCTGTTTCCTAATTTTAATTTTTTTTTTCTTTTTCTTTAACTTTGTATAAATAGATAACTAATACAGAAGAAAGTGGCATGGATATCTAAAAGAACAGGAAAGGGAGATAAGCACCTCTGCTTCCTCATCGTCTGGATCATTTTTCAGTGCAAAAGATTTTGCCAACTCTTCTCTATCAATACTGCCAATCACCTCATTTGCAGCGTTAACTATCTGCAAGGCATATTCATAATTGCCTCAGAATCAGCCTTTTTCCATCTTTCAGACATTACTAAATTTAACAACTATTTATCAACACTGATTTTATCAAAATCCAATCAGGAGATTGAATGTTCAAACTAGGGAATTTCAGAAAATTATAAATTTACTTGAACTTCTTTCATAACAGCTAGGATGGTAGTATTTCACATTTCATTTAGCGAACAACAAGCTCTCAAAATATAAATGTCAACTATTAAAGAAAATACTAATGAATATTGACTGCTAAATTTTTAATATGCGAAAAAGATAAACAGCAGTATAAAAATGCAAGATTTACACTCTTAGGAGTAAATAGATCTAGATCCCACCCTCTGTTCACATGTTTCAAGCTACATTAACAGTAAGTATTATCTCGTATATACATTATACACATTAGGTAACTTTAATATGATACACTTTTGAGGAATCCAACGATGGCCCAAGAGTTCAGATCATGCTCAGAGTTTAATATTCATTAGCCATTAGATTGGGAGAAGGAGAAACAATATCATATTAAAAAATGATAGTAAAATAGGTGTTAGGAAAGAAAACTAGAGACTGGGAGAAGGGGAATAATACCAAACATTTGATTACAGAAGTATGTACCTCTTTATTATGATTGAAATTGTCTTTGATATTATTCCTTGAAACCAAGCCTTCCAAAATTTTTGCAAGCAACAAAGTGTACTTTGGATATTCCGACTACACAAGGAAGTATAACAGATTTTGCTATTATTTAGTTTTCATCTAGAACACAGAATATACAGCTGAATGAAGTTTTGAATAACATTCAAATAAAATATCAATAAAAAATATTTAAAAAGAAAGCAAATCAATGTAATTTTATTTTTAAGAGTACTGAAACATATAAAGTTGATTCAACCACTAAAATTAGGAGTTTAGATCAAGATCTATACTTTGAGCAAGGCAGACAACTTGTTCCATTCTAAGCGATCTTCATCACTTTCTTGTTCTATGCCTCCAAGCACTTTTATTTTTGCATCTCGTACCTGATAGACAATCCAAGGCTAACTTAAGGTATCAATAAGACAACAGATATAAAATCTGAAACCTACAGTACCTAATCTATATTGTCACGATTTACAACTTTAAGTGAATGTTTTTGAATATGGAAAGATGGAAAAGAAAAACAAAATAACGATTCTCTGTCGTAACACTAGATAATATCCAATGTTTCTTCCTAACACACTCCCTCACGCCCAGCACTCTTTTGTTTTGGACTCTTTTTTTTTTTTGGCTTGGTGTATGGATATTAACGGTGGTGGCCTATGGTCCGATTGATAGGACCTAATACCATCTTAGAGTTTGACTTAACTCAACCTTACAAAACAGATTTAAACTGACTGGTAAGGTGAGGAGTATCACTCTATATAAACTCTTTCACTGCTCTATCTCCAACCAATGTAGAACTTTAGGATCCTCCTAACAATAGGCAAGGTTAATAAACCATTCTTTGATTAAAAAGATTATTAAAGAGAAAATAAAATACAACTTCCTACAAAATATAAAAATACAAACTAAAATTTGTCCTTTTTGGATAAGTTATTAACTGATTTTTAATTGTATTCGAGATAATATGGAAGATTATACAAAGATGGGATTTTGATAGCAAAATCAACAAATTCAAAACGTCCTAAAATGTTATTCACTGAAATCCATAAAGATAACCCATGTGTAGTTTTTGTTGACATTAGTCATGTACTCATTTTAAAAATACTTTAAACAGTGGAAAATTTCTAGTAGATAACCATACAAAATGCTTAAATTTTTTATAACAACGAAAATTTTTAAGTAGACACAACCATAACACGTGGTTTTACAGACAACCACTCACAACTTTTTATTAACTAAAAAATAAATAAATAATTTTCTCTCTCTTTTCATATCACAACCAGTGTTGGATGTTGGTTTGGACGTTAGTTCAAACTAAATAAATAGGAGTTGGCTCAATTAGTATTCCCCATATAAATAGAAGTGTACGGGGCAGTTAGGTATGTTATTATTTTCTGTTTTTCCTATTAGGGTTTGGGCAGAGAGAGAATCATCTCTTGTCTCTGTAATAATTTTTAATTCAATTAATATTACATTTTTCATTTATCTTAATTTTTTATCCATATCAAATGGTCCAACCTGCCGGATAATCGAGGAGGTGTCAGCGTTCGTGTCATTCAAGATGATTGTGGAGTCATTCAGGATGATTGAGGAAGAAAAAATGTTAGAAGGAGTGGCTGAGAGGATTGATGCAATTGAAGCGAGAATGGGAAAATTGGAGGAATTTGTAAAAATCCTTTAAGTCAGAGTTTCGTCAATTTCTGAATACAGAGATGGTGAAACATTTGGTGCATATTCCCACAAAGAATTTCAAGTCGGATTTGGACGTGTTGCCGGTAACAAACACAATGAAGAAGCACACGGTTACTTTAGATGAAGAAAAAGGTCACAAATTACATGTTCAGGTCTCCCATGATATCAAAAAAGAAGTGACGGTGGTGGTTTTCGATTGTGGCGTAGAAGGAAGTAGAAGGAAGAACATTGACGGAGAAATCAATGACAACATCATTGATTCATTCAGAGATGTTCGTAGAAGCAGCAAGGAAGAAGGGACAAGGAGGAAAAAAAGCATAGGAGTTGGTTGATGTCACCACCACCACCACTGAAACCGCCAGATTCAGGTCAACCTTCAACAGTGCTTCCACGGCGAGGACCGCCGCCTACGCCTAAGCCATCAGTTCTTAAGGACTTCGTGAAAGGAGACCAGAAAAAAAGAGTGATGAAAAATATAAAGCGTCACCAGAGCATACATCGGCGACTGCCGAACCACCGTGTGTAAGTTCCAATTCCTTTTTAGTTTGTATCGTTGTTGCTGAATTGAAGAAGGATCTAACGATATTAAGGGCAAAAATGGTAATCTTTGAATTGAAGATCATTCTTGAAAAGTTAAGGGTAAAATGGACAATTGAGGAGAATGATATCTATATAACCCTACTAGGTCATGACCAAGTTTATACGGGTTTGTTTTTTAAAGCATTTATGGATTGGGCTAAAATAGAGCTCTTGGGCCTAGCTCCTCAATTCTTTTTCTTAATTTGATTACCTTTATATCATTTTCCCTCCTTGGTAAATTGGGAAGCAAGGATTGCACACAACGCTCATTGCTAATTGATAAAAATTTAAATTTTGAATGGATTATCATGCAAATATTTTTAATTGAAGATACAGTACAGTACATGGTTATGACTGGATAATATTCCTAGAAATAATAGAAGACACTGTCACTGGAGAACTTTTTATTTTCTTAGCTGGAGTTACAATTGATTATACTCAGGCTTATATGAGTTTTAAGGAGAAAAACTATAGGCTGTTATCTAGAGATAGTAAAAATTAAGATGTGCAGCAAGTTCAATTGTTTGAAGTCGGCTCATCAAGTGCTCAACAATGGGATCCTGGAAGATACAAAAGCTACAGTTGTGTCGGTGTTGTGTTTCAAAACAAATGAATTCCAAGTATGGTTTTGTGGTTGGCTGAAGTGCAGATTTGGTCTTGTTTTAAACCCACCATCTACCTTGCAAGGGAAGTGTTTGGCATGTCATTGTTATATGTTGAAGGGCATTTTCTCATTTCAACCTTGAGGACAAGGTTGTATTTCTGGTTGCCGGTAATGTTAGGATGTTGGTTTGGGCCTTAGTCCAAACCAAATAAATAGGAGTTGGCTCAATTAGTATTCCCCATATAAATAGGAGTGTTTGGAGCAGTAGTTAGGTTATTATTTTCTGTTTTTCCTATTAGGGTTTAGGCAGAGAGAGAATCATCTCTTCTCTATTTGCTCTGGGATTATAGAGATCAATCTCTGTAATAGTTTTTAATTCAATTAATATTACATTTTCTATTTATCTTAATTTTCCATCCCTATCAACCACCCCCTTGAATCCAATTAAAACAGAAATTAAATTTTAAATAAATTTAAATTTTTCTCTCTTCTTATTGGATGTTTATAAGAATATAGATTTAAGTGTGTTTCCATGCAAGAATTTCTCTTATAACAAATAAACGCTTAAGAAGGCAAAAGCAGTCATGCCAAAAAATGAAGATAGAAAACAAGAAAGCTATTGTGCTGAATATGACTAACCTTTTCTTCTAAACGTTCAGAGACAGTCTTCTTGGAAGATAAAGAAGTTTTTTCCTTGTCCTTATCAATCTTCCAACAGAAGGTAACAAGACAATGTATAGACATTAATATGTAGCACATATTCTATGCTAGTTTATACATCAGTGTTCCTTGATGCTTGTTCAAACCAGCACGAGTCAGATTGAAGAAATTGAAGCATAAGGTAGAGAATAAGTGATAACCTTATTTGGGGGAACTATATAAGAAATCTTATATGATGCAGGGTGCTTCTCTGGATTTTTATGCTCCCCCTGTCCGGAAACTGATAGTTTTCCATATGATATTGATCCGACCAATACAGATCCTTGTAAAGAGTTCTGTGGAAATGATTTAAATGTTGTTACATATTAACTATGGTCTAATGGAAATACCCATGAGGTTAAGAGAATAAAATATACCTTGGGAAGTTTGTCTTTTGGTGGTGGACCAAGATAAAATCCTTCTTTTATACTATCAATAAGCAAACTTCAGCATCATAACAAGGTGGTGACATTTAAACTTTTAGGTTGTAGATAGAACTATAAGTCTATAACCCAGTCACATACCCTGGAATTAATGTTGAGGTCTTGAAGGAACCATTTCCCGTCAGTGGGCCATCTGGTTGAGAGAAAAAGCTTAACCGAAAGATGTCCTGAATATGAAGACAAACACAAATAATAATTAAATAAATATATATATGGAAGGAATGTAATAAATTACCTTAGTTTTAATGATGTATTTCAAATTTATATCCTCTATAAGTATTGTGATACGTGTTCGCTAATTGAAGGATCACAATTTTAAGAAAAACAATTGAATTTAAGAACAAGTAGTCAAATGAGACACATAAATAATAGTTTTGAGGTTATGGCTTCGAGTCATAGGTGTTTGTGTTTACTTGGACTCGTTTCTGTATTCTCGCTTCTTTGATAGGATTGTTCTAATCAAAGTGACGTACAATTTATATTTAACATTTTAAAATCAAGTTTTTCTACTAAGATTCATGAAAATATATCAAGGTTATCTTCTAAGACTTAAATTCATTCAATAATGTTATGAGAGAAATTCTTTTGAAAAATTTTAATGAACATTCTGTTTAAAATTTTCAAGTACAAATACATTTCATACAAAGTAAAATATATAATTCTCAAAGGATTTTCCATCCACGTATTTCAGAAATTTGTGGAATACAAAACAACTGAGCATTAACATGCCTAACTCACCAGAGATTTACAATTGGAGTGAAAGACATAATGGATATCATAAAGTTGTCTTTCAGAATACGGTATACTACCTTGTCTTCCAAATTTCGCTCAATGAATAACACCAGATGCTTCATTTTTTCCAAAATCTGCAAGTCTTCATGCCTGAAACATTAAAACAACACGAGTACAAGACAATGCCTAGAAATATTCCACATGTTATTAAAACTCCAACTTTCTTATTGCAGGCTTTAACTACTGTTGATAATTATATATGTATACAGAGAATATTTTCTAAAATATTCCTTAGAATATTCTTTAATGTATTCTAAAATAGGATAGAATATCTATGATATTAATATTAGGATTTGTATTTTCTCCTATATAATGCATCTTCTACTGTGCTATTCAGACACACGGTTTATTCAAATGTCTTTTAGTCTATTGTATTTCAACATGGTATCCAGAGCCAACTGAGAGACAATCCTTCGCCGTGCTTTATCCGGTTGACCCACTATCTTCCAGTGAGAAATTTTTGACAAATCGTGTCATAACTCTGATTGTCTTCCATACACTGCCGTGACTCATTCCGGCATCAGTTTTCAAAATTTTCCGGTCACCACCGCACTGCCGCTGCTGTCTGCCATTGTTGCTACTGTTTTTCGACAACCTTCCGGCAAACTATTCTTATCGGCAGAAGCGTCTCCTCCGATCCCGGTGATTTTTCCACCGCCTCAATCGCCACCGTGCAACTGTTCTAGATCCGGTCTCAAATTTTATTTTACACTCACGGAAAATTGTGATTCAGTCCAAACATAGTCTTGTTCACCCGGTTCGTGTGATATTTCCTCTCTTCAGATTCTCATGGCCACTCCTCGGAACTCTACGCCAAACTACGATGATTTTCTCAGGTGGTATCACGATTATCAAAACTCAAATTCTACTACTTCGGTTGCCCACACTGGTAAATCATCTGCTTGCCTCTCTCAATCATCTTCTCTTGGACCTTGGGTCCTTGATTCTGGTGCGTCTGATCATGTTACTGGTAATAAAAATCTTTTCTCTTCCCTCTCTACTTCTGGTTTCTTACCTACTATAACTTCTGCCAATGGTTCTCAAACTCAATCCGAAGGAATTGGTACTGTTCAAGTTTTACCTTCTCTCTTTGTTACTTATGTTCTCTTTGTACCTAATTTTCCATTTAATTTACTTTCAGTCAGTCGTTTAACTCGTTCTCTTGATTGTATTGTCACATTCACTAATAATAATGTCACCCTGCAGAATCGGAGTTCGGGACGGATGATTGGCGTCGGATGTGAGTCTCAGGGCCTTTATTACCTCTTAGTGTCATCTCATACATGCTCAGCCAAAGATTCTCTACTCACTATCCATGCTCAATTAGGTCATCCTAGTCTTTCAAAACTACAGAAGTTGGAGGTTATCGAAGGTATCTAATTTACATTGTGAGTCGTGTCAGTTAGGGAAACACATTGGTAGTCAATTTTCCAATCTAGTCAATAAACGAGCTTCGTCCCCTTTTACTTTAGTTCACTCCGATGTTTGGGGCCCCTCACGTATTGTCTCTACTCTTGAGTCTAGGTATTTTGTCACCTTTATTGGTGATTTTTCACGTTGCACGTGGTTAGTTTAATGAAAAATAGATCAGAATTATTTTCTATTTTTGAAAAAATTTATAAAGAAATAAAAACTCAGTTTGGTGTGTTTATTCGTACCTTAAGAAGTGATAATGCTCGTGAATACATATCCCAACAATTTCAAATTTTTATGTCCAGTAATGATCCACCAAACATCTTGCCCTCATACAGCTCAACAAAACGGGATAGCCAAACGCAAAAACCGGCATCTCGTAGAAACCACTCGAACCATACTTCTCCATGGTAATGTTCTTCTTCGATTTTGGAGGAATGTTGTGCTCACGGCATGTTACCTCATAAATCACATTGTACACATCCCTGAGGCAATACCTGTTCTTGAGGTCATTGCAGATTCTCCTCTGACGCTTGTAAGGTGAGGATTACTCCCACTTATAAACTCGTGTTCAAGCCATATATTGTCCGATGTGGGACTCTTAACACCCCCTTTCACGCTCAGGAATTAGGACTGGGGCGTGGAACTAAATGGTGGATAGCCCAATGGATCTTAGATGAGGCTCTGATACCATCTTAGAATGTGAGGGTTGGGCCTAACTCAACCTTACAAACCGGCTTGTAAGGTGAGGGTTACTCTCACTTATAAACTCATGTTCAGGTCATATGTTGTTCGATGTGGGACTCTTAACAGTAAGATCGATCGGTTTAAAGCTCGCTTGGTAGTCAAAGGATACACTTAGATTTTTGGGTTAGATTATAGTGATACCTTCTCGCATGTAGCCAAGATGGCATCTGTCAGACTTCTTCTAGTCATTGCATCCATTCGACATTGGCCTCTTCATCAATTTGACATCAAAAATGTCTTTTTACATGGTGATCTTGAAGAGGAAATATAAATGGAGTAACCGTCTGGGTTTGTTGCTCAGGGGGAGTCCTCGAATATAGTTTGTAGGCTACACAAGTCTCTTTATGGTCTTAAGCAATCTCCGAGAGCTTGGTTTGGCAGATTCAACATTGTAGTACAACAATTTAATATGGTCCGTAGTGAAGCTAACCATTATGTGTTTTATTGTCACTCTGTCCAAGGATGTATCTATCTTATTGTATATGTAGATGATATTGTCATAAGTGGCAGTGATCAGCAGGGGATACTCCAGTGAAACAACATCTCTCGAATCAATTTCAGACAAAAGATCTTGGTAAACTCTGTTACTTCTTGGGAATTGAGGTGGCCCAATCTAGAGATGGTTTGGTGATTTCCCAACGGAAATATGCTATGGATATTTTAGAAGAAACAGGGTTGTTGAATGCTAAACCAGCTGATACTTCTATGGATCCAAGTGTCAAATTGCTACCTAATCAGGGGGAGCCTCTATCCGACCCAGGAAGGTATAGGAGATTGGTTGGAAAGTTGAAATATCTCATAGTCACTCGTCCGGACATTTCTTTTACAGTTAGTGTGGTAAGTCAGTTCTTAAATTCTCCTTGCCATGAACACATGAATGTTGTTGTCCGGATTCTAAGATACATCAAGTGTGCTCCAGAAAAAGGTCTTGTGTATGAAGCAAATGACATACTCAGATAGTTGGATACTCCGATGCTGATTGGGAAGGGTCACCCATTGATAGACAATCCACCTCTGGGTATTGTGTACTTGTTGAAGGAAACATTATATCCTAGAAAAGAAAGAAACAAAATGTAGTTGCAAGATCAAGCGTTGAGGTAGACTATAGGGCCATAGCGATGGCAACATGTGAACTTATTTGGTTAAAATAGTTGCTCAAGGAACTTCTAATTGAAGAAGCAAGACCAATGACACTTATTTGTGATAATCAAGTTGCATTGCACATTGCTTCAAATTCGGTCTTCCATGAGAGGACCAAACATATTGAGATAGACTGTCACTTTGTCAGAGAGAAGATCGAGTCAGGCGACATTGCTACAAGCTTTGTCAACCCGAATGATCAATTGGCAGATGTGTTTACAAAATTCCTTTGAAGCCCCAGAACCAATTATATATGTAACAAGCTTGGTGCATTTGACTTATATGCTCAAGTTTGAGGGGAGTGTTGATATATATATATATATATATATATATATATATATATATATATATATATATATATATATATATATATATATATATATATATATATATATATATATATATATATATATATATATATATATATATATATATATATATTCTCTACAATATTCCTTAGTGTATTCTAGAATATGATAGAATATCAATGTAATTAATATTAGGATTTGTATTTTCTCCTATATAATGCATCTTCCGTTGTGCTATTCAGACACACGATTTATTCAAATATCTCTTAACCTCTCATATTTCAACAACTACTAACCAAGCTTTCAAGTCCTTAAAACCACAAAACTACTCTTCAGTAACTAACTGTAAAACTTCAAAATTAATTTTCGAAATATATAAAATGAAAAACAATACATGGAACAAACAAGCATGTGTTGTTTTCAGTATATGTGTCAAGGAGCTGTACCTTACATATAGCTGTAAATTGTATTCTCCTTTGGGGAGTTTGGTAGAGTTTGGATAGGCATCTCCACTTGAATATACTCGCTATAATCAGAATGTATAAATATGAAAATAAATAAGCAACTTATTATTCACTTGCCTGAGAAATAGCATCTGACACGACAAACAAACCAACCTTTCCAATCCTCATCTTTATAAGCTTAAAGGAAAGTAAATATTAGAATACCTTATTTGAATCAGAAATCATATAAAACTGAGACTCAAACTTGGTGTCGTATATCCGACCATTTAGAAATGGTATTTGAGGTTTTATTTCAGCTCCATCGTCCAATTTGAATTTGTATCTGAAATCATACATAACCTTGAGAACATGCCATCTAAAGGTCATAAAGATAAATGAAACAGATAATGGAATTTATAACTATTCACGTTAATGTCAGAGCTAGCATCTGCTTTCCAGAGGGGAGTTTGTCACGGTCATTTGAAAGTGCACTAATCTTAGCATCTATAGGACGATATGGGACTCTTATCTGCAAGTTAAAAATAAACAGGGAAACTAGATTAACCTCATTGCTGTCCCAAGTCACAAGCATAAAAGCAGAACAAAAAGGAAACAAATTCTACAAGATAACCTTATTTAGATTAGCTACAGGTGTAAGTTTCTCAGATGCAAGTAGTGCTTCAGCATCAACTCTGACAGGTGCTTCACTCCCATCAAGTATAATTTCCTCTTGACTAGCTTTTACACCATGAAACACAACCTGGAATTTTATATAAATTAGCAAGCATATCATTAGTGAAAAGTGACAAAATTCGTACTATATTGATTCTTCTTTCACTAGAAATTGTCAATGAGGGAATAAGAGTCACTCACATACCCAAATACCTGGCATAGGAGAATAAATTTGCCATACAGACACGAATTGTTACCTTAAGATCCACATTGGTACTCTCATGACTTCCAATTCCACTTGACCAAAACTGAGCTATGACTAGTTCCAATGTCTGACCACCTACTACCCTAAAGGTAAAGCTTTTGGAAGCAGGAGAAGAAAAATTTATAACACTCCGCCATTTCAAAGGCCTTTGCAATGGACATATCTGGATATAAAAGCACGTCAAAAATAGGTCTATAGTTAACCTTACATAATCTTAAGCTGTACAATTTACCTGAACTGTATCCACAAAAAATCTTCGAGGTGTATCAAAACTTGAAATATTCATGGTTGCTTCAACCCAAGATGCACCATGAGGCACTTCTATATATTTTCTTTCTATACAGCCTAATGAAGCAAATAATTAAGACAATAAGCATTGGTTTTGGACTTACAACCAGAATTCTAATTATAACATAAATTTCTAAAAACATTTTGGCATGGGGTACGAGATAAATCCCCAAGCAAATAGCTCCAACATCAAGGTTGGAATGTATAACATGTAGATGTAGATCCAAATTCCGACCTTAGTGTACCACCAGAAGAAAGAAGCATACAGATTAACTTGATTGACTAATGCACACCTGGCTGGAATAGCATCTTTGAAAATGAAACTTGTGGAGGTCTATCAATTACAGACACGGGCTTGGTTATAGTAATTGGAATTCTGAAAAGAGGACCACGCCATGGTGCTTTGCAGTCAATACCGTATACCTCATAATAATGCAGACCATCACATAAATTGGTAGGATCCACTAATATGCTGAAAGTAAAAGAAAACAACATCTAAGTTATAATGAAGTAAACTACAGATTAGGATTATCGAAAGCAACTCAGTTGAAATAAAAAGAAGGAAAGAAACATAAACTGTTTATGGAATAACAGTTTCATCGGAGAAGTTTGAGGATGATGGATGTTGTGTATATAGTTAATGAGCAATACTTCTATTGCAAATACATAACTATATATGCAACATCCATAACTTAAAAATGTTATATACTTGTAAAACTTTTTTATTATTTAAGAGGTGGTGGTAATGGAAAAAATAATAAGAGGTGGTGGTTAGCAAATGATAAAAAAGAAATTCAATTAAAACATACAGATAAAACAAGAGAAAAAATAATAAGCTATAAGTAACAAAAGAAAAAACACTAAAAACAAAATATGATAAACTCTGTTTACCGAAGACCTTTGCTTTGGTTAAGCAAACTTCTAAACAAGTTAAATGGGCTATAAATTAGTAGAAAGGTCTTGCCAAAAAGTGACCGAGGAAAGATGATTAAAGAAAACCAACTAACTTGAATGTACGGCCGTTGTGAGTGAGCAGTAGATACTCGGGAGTTTTCACAACTGTGCTATCTGAAGAGCGTAACTCAATGCACTCCTCAAATACAGCCAAATCTTCAATCTTGTCGGCATCTTCATGGAATTTGGGATCAACTTGCACTGTCCACTGTCAATAAGTACTACAAATTATAAAAAAAATTACCAATTGAGAGTACACAGGGATTCCATTAAAATTTACTGTTAACTGATGATAAGATTAGAATATTCATAGATTTGATCAAATATTATAAGCAGAAAACTGACAACAACTATCATTACCGAAACTAAACCTGAGAAGCACAAATACGATGAGATACAAATAGGAGACAAGACAAACACGGAAATATAGCAAATTTTGAAAAATATAGAAAATATAGAATGTGACATGGCTCTAATACAAATTATAAAATCTGTACAAAATTAAATATAGAATGTGACATGACTCTAATACAAATTATAAAATCTGTACAAAATTATGATGTTTGTTGGTCGAAGAACTTAGAGTTAGTTTGTTAGTAGTTGGGGGATGGGATGATTAGAGAAATCAGACATGTTGCCTATAATTAAGAAGCATGAGAAGGATAGTAATCTTGTCAGTTGAGAGGTAGTGCCCTTGGGAATATGGAGGTGCAAACCCTCAAAATCATGGAATGCAATCTACACTTTAATAAATAGAATTCTTCTCTAAAAATAGGGATACCAATTCCTATCAAATTAATACAAAAATACAAATTAATCTTAAATCAAAAGAGATGGTTAATATTCAAGTAGTTAGAACGAGTCATTTTATATGTAATAAAATATTATCTCTTCAACTATTGTGATATTCCCATCTTAATTGATACAGGAGTTCAAAAAAATATAAAATATTGAAAGTGTTTGTGAAGTGTTTGATATAAGTACGTGTCATATAAGTACGTGTCATATAAGTACGTGTCCTACATGAGGACGACATGCCACAACTACTATTTTGAAGTATCCATGTTTTCTTGTTTACTCCTTACTACCAGCATAAAAACGCTTGCAAGAGAGTTGTTAAGAGTCCCACATCGGGCCTGAACTTGTCTTTGTAAGTGGGGACAATCCTCATCCTACAAGCCGGTTTTGTAGGATTGAGTTAGGTTCAACCACATTTCTTAACATGGTATCAGAGTCTCGTTCAAGATCCGGTGGATCACCGGCTATCAGGTTTTCGCTATCGGGCCACCCACCACTTATTTCCACGCTCCAGATGTCCTATCCTGGACGTGAGGGGGGATGTTAAGAGTCCCACATCGGGCTTGAACATGTCTTTATAAGTGGGGGCAATCCTCACCCTACAAGCCGATTTTGTAGGATTGAGTTAGGTCCAACCATATTTCTTAACAAGAGTTATCATGCTTCATTATATATTTCAACAATTTTTCTATTAAAAAATCCGGAGAACACTACTAGGGTTCTTTTATTGTCACCCTAGAAAGCAATGTAAGTGTTTTTATTTTTTATAAGCAAAAAATATCAAAGTGAAGTAAAAGATGAAGGCACATAAAGTTTAACTAAGTTCGCACCCCTGCGCCCATGCCCAAACTGCTCAACTCTAACTAAATATTTTTAAAAAAAATAAAAAATAAAACATTGGGGAGACTAGGCCAAAACCCAAGGTAACAACAATACAGACCAAAATGATTGGCCAACTGCCTTATTGAAAACCTTATGAAGGAAAACTCAGTGTGATAAAACTTTGATGAAGGGAAAAAGAGAGCAGTTCGAAAACAAATTCTTATCATTCAACCCAAGCACGAGAGTTAGATACAACTGTCAATCATCAGTCTATTGTTTTCCCACAATCTAATCTTCAATCCAATTTAAAAATTATAGTTTTCAAGGATCTGGCTCAAAATATGTTCTGATCATCAAAGCACACCAATTTTAAGAAGGATCTCACCTCAGTAGATTGTCGGCAAGCATTAGCCTCTCGGAGGTAGATGCCCCGTGATGAAGGATCTGCCATCAATAATTATATAAAGTGATATCATTTATTTAATTTTGTTGCTTGTCTTTAATATAAGATTCTACTACAATCTAAATAAATGATTTTCCTTCAATTACATGTAAACGATCTTCATTTTATTTTATTTCCTATTTTTCTCATTTTGACTAAGCTTCGATTCTGTAACTTGTCAAATTTTATCACATTGCTTAAACATGATTAATGCATCACTTAGGCAAAGGTCAAAGAAATATTGTCCAGTTTAGAAGTCAGCTAGAAATAATTTTACCTGTGCAACGTTTATGAATATGTTGGGCTGTACTAGTAACAACATAGTTTTTATGAAGAATTATATTCATTTTTCACTCGTAAATAGTTTTCCTACCGCTACAAATGGTGAAATTATATAAATCTCAGGAGGAGAATGGTGAGGTTTGTAGTCCTTTTAGCACTCAGAAACTTTCTAAGTATTTTTCCAAGTGCCCAACTGAAACTTTCTGAAAAACTTTTTAACAGAAACTCCTAATTTGTTTTTCAAGCAAATTCTCTTTACTTTTCCCTCTAATCTAGGGTAGTAGGCTCAACAACTTAATGGGAATCAATCATCACAATTAGACCACACCTTGAACTTTTTTTAACTCTTTTTTTTGGTCTGTATATAGGGAGGAATAGAACTCTAAAGAGTCTGAGTATTTGAAGCCAGACAAAGTTCATTTTGTACATGCTACATGCATATTCTTATTAGGCAAAAAGATCACCTTCATAACAAAAAACAGAATGCAGCAACCGTTTATTCCTAAACAATTTGGTCATCTATAATACAACAAAACATGCTTTATAGTTGTACAAGCATGAATAAATGCATACGGGGAAGACAAAAAATACCAATTTCCTATCTCTTGTTTTTCAAAAGGAGAAGGCAAAATGTCCAGGAGAGAATGTGAACATACTTGTTTTTCCAGATTGATTGATGTTTATTTGATACCAAACATATGGAATATTTTGAGACTGCTGTATATATTCATAACACCTGTCATTGATAATTTGATTCAAGTCAATAACAAATCTTGTATTACCATTTACTACTAATTTCTTTGAAGACTCAGACAGGGAAAATATCGAACTTGTCAACTTGCATAAGCCCTTGCCCAGTGGATAATTTATCCTCCGGTGAATTGCCGATTGGAACAGTTGTATTCTCCAGGGCTTTCCTCACACTATATGGACTCACAGAAATTCCCTCTGCCTGCATGCAGATCATACACATCAGAACATCATGGAAATGTATGCAAAGTACCACCAACTAAACCATAAAATCTAAATAAGAACGAAATCCTAGAACCTTCATTGCACTTATGAGCAATGCAATTCCCCCACAGGCTGATGGAGATGACATTGATGTCCCGTTCATGAGCATACGCCGTTGAAGGGTCCACGTAGGAACAGGAGCGATAGCCCCGCCGGGAGCACTTACAGAGACACCAAGATCTCCGTCAGCCGTTGGTCCTCGGCTAGACCTGGAAATAATTTTCATCAATCACCCAATGATATCAATGCAAATCCAGCAGAACCAAGTGCATGATATGTTTAGGAAGTCATCCACTTAAACTGTTTCCACAGAAAAGCAAACATACCATGTGTATTCAAGCCCCTCAGATGGAGGTTCAACAACACAATGAGCACCAGCCGCCATAGCAGGAGAAACATAAGCGCCGACACCTATGATGCTTGAAGAGGTACCACCAGGTGCACCAACAGTGCTTAGCGCTGGCCCACTATTACCAGCACTGCTTACAAATATCAGACGGTGTTTGTTTACCACCTAGATATAAATAACCCAAGGCATCTATACAGCTCAGAGAATGGAAAATTACACAAAGGAAAGATATAGCTGGCCTAGTTAAAACTTAAAATGGAAAACTCAGAAGATACCTCATTCACGAGGTCAACAAAGCGACCATATTCCGGCAAAAATGTTGGCTCCCCATAACTCATGTTTATAAGATCGCATTTATGCTGCAAAAGAAACAGGAATATAATGAGTTATTCATGTCAAACACCGCATAATATGAAAACAAAATAAGAAATGTCAAAGTGGAATCTAGTCCAATAGTTAACATGCCAGATATTGATGCAATGAGGACAAAGAATCATCAGAAGCACCTCCACAGCAGCTATCAGTGCCCGAGTCAAACCGGTTCCAGTTTCCATTGAACCTAAGCGAGAGTCGCCAATTTTACAAGATATTAATTGTGCTCCAGGCGCAACTCCGTTCAACAAAGGCTCCTGACAATAATACCATACAATACAATGAATAGTGTTTTTCAAAGGATTTTCGCTATGGATAAAATTATGTTCATACCTCTGGGTGGAACGCAGTAGCTATACCAGCAACGTGGGTGCCATGAGGAGAGCTGTCTGTTACAATACTCAAGACATTCCCATCACTATAGACATTGACTACAAATGTACAAGCATCTAATTTGCTGAAGACACCATACTTCCTCTCAGTCCTGGAGAATTAGCATTCAAAACCTTTAAAATTTAATACCTGCCACACTTATTAGAACCAAATTTATAACTGTTTCAGAAATTCACATTAATAATTTAAGCACTTGTACAGTTAGTTCATAATATGGTATCAATGCCTATATAACCAAGTGGAATTTCAGCAAAAGATAGATGAGCCTGTGTATTGTTTATGCTCCAAGCCAAAGGACTCTTTAGTGAGGGGGTGTGTTAGGGATATAATATAAAAATCATCCCAGTGTCTTATAGCCTAACTGCTTGAGCTTTGAGACAGTTGTCTCCAAAATGTAAATACTAGGAGGTAGTGTGTGCATAACATAAAACTTAAAATGTTTCATAAGAAATAAATGATACAAAAGTAACACAAGAACTCCATGCAAGTCTTATTCATCCTTCATTTCTGGAGATAATTTACTCCTTAAAAAAATTTAAAATCAAAGACAAAATCAGCAATACTTCATATTTTCCTTCATGTCCTATTTAAATGTGTACATCCTTCTGCTTCTATATCCTTCACAATCTAGTTAAGCATTTCTTTGAAGTGTGAATAACACAAGAAAACAAAACCAAATTCATAATAAATTCAACTGGCTAACATGGTTTTGGATTCAATGCACGAGAAAAGGGTGAAAAGACAACTTAGAGAGGCTTATATGTATTGACAAGCAAGAAGAAAGTTGACTTATTTGTGGTGTGTATGGCAGAGGGGAATGAGATGTAGGTATTCCTTTGTCAGAAAATGAGTATCTTCCAATTTCAAAAGACTTATGCACGAAAGCAATCAACTAAGATTAAAATATAGAGTAACACCAACAATCAAATGTACTTACTACCTATAATTAGTCAAGGGTACAAAGTTAGCAAGCTTCCCACGATCTGAATCATCCTCAAGACTCTGTGTGTCAAGAGCAACCCTCCAAACCTCTCCATCATACCAGACAACAGCATCTATGGCAGGTCCTTTATCATTGTAGCTCTGAGACATAAAACAACATTGTCTTTCAAGTAAGAAAACTCAATTGACTAAACACTGAGCAGGATCCGGAGGCAAGTAAGCAAGCACAATGCAATATAAAAGTACTTTTTTAGTAAGAGAGAAACGGAAATTTTGAGTTTCCACCGAGAATGAATTGTGTCCCAACATTATTTCGCACAGCAACAGCCATTTTTTACAAAATCTTATCATTACTAATACTACTTCTTATGAGCATAGTTAACAGTAGCAGAGCTACTTATCAGAACAGAGAAGAGTAGTTCTGTTGGGTTTAACATTCGTGACAATAACAGGCCAAGGACAAATGCTATTAAGTACATTAAAGGAACTACACAAGCAATTAGGATGTAAGTCAGCTTAAAATTAGCTTCTAGACTCTAGTTAGTCTCTTTATTACTATGTTCACTTGGTTGTAATCACAACTAAGAGATCCCTGTGCAGCACACAACACAATATAATTTAAACTTCATTGCAGACCCACAATTCCCCTCTACGCCGGATTTAGAAGCTCAAAGAAAAGAATAGGTTAAGGACACTGTAATACATCATTCACCACAACAATTCAACCATTTTATCCACAATATTATATTTCAATATGAAAAATATATGTTGGAGGACAAAAATAAGTCAAATATCGTATAATTAATGCATACATAAATTAATAGTTGTGTTTCAAGAAGAAGAAAAAGGAAGCTATAACATGTTCAGCCCACCTCAGATTGCTTTCTAAGAAGATCAAGTCTATTCTGGAGATCTTCACGAGCCTTTTTGAGTTTAGCATCCTCCACCTTGCGATGTTGCTAGAAAATGCATCGCATTTCAAGTCACATGAAAAAGAAGGTATATTATATGTAAACAAGAACATTAAATCTGCAGCAGCATAAAGTTATTGGCAAAATTAGAAAGAAATATATAATCTGCGATTTCATAGTGTAACTAAAATCACAAAGAAGTCAAATAAAACATCTATATATGAGTAGCAAAAAGGAAATGATAATCACACATCTCAGAATACTAATGTATGTTCATACGCTCCATTAAAAAATCTTTCATTTTTTCCTCTTTTTGTGCTCTTAATGGTGTAGACGGTTTGTCTTTTCAGCGCATACAAAAAGAAACCAACAATTTATGTTTAGCAAAAAGGAAATGATAATCATTCATCTCAGAATGCTAATAGTAATTTATGTTCATAGGTTCATTTACATAAAACTCTTTCATTTTATTTATTTTTTTGTACTCTTAATGGTATGAGACTCTTTTTCCTTTTAGCACAGGCAGAAAGAAACTAACAATAGTAGAATGTTGATATATGATAGAAAAGGTACAACTGACACCAAAGAAAGGAAAAAAATCTCGTTCTTTTCCCAAAAAATAGCAATTAGCTTATGCTTGCAAATAAATAGGAGAGAAAATGAAGATAATACGAGAAACATGCAGTAGCTTGCCTCTGTCATATATGACCAGTGCCTACTATACAAATTGTTAAACAGTTGTGAGTAGTAGAGCATATGTGAACTAAGGTGGTGGCACATATTAATATCAGAAGAACCAAATAAATTTTTACTTTACCTGATCAAAATCATTAAGTTGTTTAACAGTCTTAGCAATTTCCTCCTGGTTTTTCTCATCCCACTTTTTCTTTCTCTCTTTCTGCAGATAAAATTTTAGGAGGAGAAAAGAGGAAATTTGATTGATTAACCATATTAAGTCTAAAGAGCAACTATAACATATAAGAAGGTTATATTGCTACCTTCAAACGAGAAGTCAATTTTTCTGTAAAAAGCTCGTAAACCAATTTATAACCCACATGCCATTCACCAGAAGGATTTTTCCATGAAGTATTGATAGCCAAAGATGCACCTGTACAAATATTGCACTAATGCTTAAAGCACGGACAAGAACTTACTCTCACATTCTTTGACTAGGAAGAAGGAAGAGAGAAAGAAAAGTAACAGGAAACAAAAATGATGTGAGGTTATAGAAGAAAAAATATTGAGGGGGAGGACAAGAGCAAAAGGAAAGAAATGCTTATCAAAACTTCAGAATGGTTGACGTGGGAAAACCAAAACTCATGATTTCTTACAACATTTGGGTAGTGGAAATCAAGTATTCAAAGCACATAAAAATAAAATTACGGTATTATTTGACTTCAGATTGTCCTACTCAGTGTAACTGCTTCAAGATTATTTTATCCATTCTTTTCTCGTTTGAATACTAGAAGTGCAAAAAACTAACAATTGTGACTTTTCACTCACTCATTCAAGAAGGAATTTAAAATTACTAATAAGTAATAAGAAGCATGCATTCACCACAATTAGTCCATGTAGAGATATGAAGTTTTATCGGTCAAACATCCACAATGTTACAAACAAGTAGCAAAGAGCCAAACAGTATGACCACAATTTATTCCCTCTCACTGACCTGATGCCCCAGAAATACAACCATCAGCATCAGCCTTCACCACTTTTGACGTGTCAATATCTCCACTCCCAGTACTGATGATTAAAAAAAATGTATCACATTTATCGGGAAACAAACAATGCATATATCAAATAAAAATCTAAAGTCAAGTTGCTTTATTACCAATCAAGGATATCTAGAATTTTTGGTTTCCCATCTGAGGTAACCTGTAATCCAGCGGCAGCTGGGTCTACACCAGAATCTGAAAAGTAAAAATAGGCAGATCCCATGATTAAACATATTTTCCATATGAACCAGTATGGTGGTACCAATTACAGCATAACACTAGACATATAATAATACATGCACAATGATATTAACCTACAGAACTGTTTATAAAGAAGCAAATAAGATAGGCACCAGGCTAGGGACAGAACATAGTGGTCCAAAATTATTACAAGTATTCTTTACGAGTTAAGTTTGTTTTCTTATATTTTAGCAGAGTACCAGCAACACATTCTCTATTACTAGTCAAATTCATGTGTATCCAACTAAATCGTGTGGGATCCATTTTCAAATTGGTGAGGCTTATGATTTTGATTGAGCCTAATAAAAAATGTGTTAAAAGGAATTCATTCCTCTAAAGAGTGAAATTATAAAGTTGATATTTCAACACACTCATGATTTACTTATCAATTACTAACTATGAAGCACAGACAGCGGAAACACAACACCGACACTAACATGTCGACAGCGGTAATACTTTGGAAAAATAAATAAAGTAAATGTAATCACAACTTTTGTGTCGGTTTGAGACACCGACACGGACACAACTTTTTTCAGAGGTGTCTATGCTACAGAGATTACTAATTGTACTCCCTTTAGAGGACACGAATCCATGTTGAAAAGAGCTTGTCATATAGTGAGATACTTAGCTAGCATTTCTCTATATTTTAACCTATCTTCACCTGCAAACAATGATATCATGAAACCTAACTCATCCAAAACAAATGAATTCAGACTCCCGCCATGTCAACAAATTCAACCACCAAACAAGGAAAGCGTATAATTCAACATTGGAGATGTTTGAATTGACTTCTTTGAGCTTACTAACCAGCATAAGCACTTGTGATTTTCAACTTAAGCCATACGCGCTTAGTTAGTTTGTTTATCAAAGGAGATGCAATCTCGTTTTCAACAACAGCGACGAAATCGGAAGAGTTTAAAGAAAAAAGTACCGAAAATAGCGATGAGAGCACCACGTCCATCGTAGTGTGGATAAGAATGCAGAAACCGATCGACGCCAATCTCCGTTTTAGGCATAAGAGAAGCTAAAAAGGTGGACTGATTGAGCTTGAAATTGCGAGAAGAAGCAGTTCCGTTGGCGTTGTTATTTCCGTCGGGATCGTCATCGCCACCACCGGAGTGAGAATTGAAGGAAGAGCAAAGCATTGGTTTGGGAATGGAGAAGTTCCGATGGCCTCTTCCGATCAAGTTTGGGTTTGAACGGTGAAGGTTGGTGAGAAAGGGAGAGGGGAGTGTGCAGATGAATGTGAGATGGTTATGCATACGGTGGTGAAGGGTGGTTTGGTAATTTTGAGAGGAAGTGTGGTAATGGTGTGAGTGCGAAGAAGCGGGATGGAATCGGATAGGTGGATTTGATTTGAGTGGCATTGTTTTGTGAATTCTCATGCTTCTCCAAGTTTTCCTCCCAACTAACTAAATGTACTTCTACTACTACTAAGCACTTTACATAACACATACACATACTACATTTTTGTTTAAAATAAATAAATAAATGAGTTGTAAAATTATGAATTTCATTTTTTTCTACTATAAAAAACTAAATATTTAAAAAAATCAATCTTGATGTTGGGGTAACAAATATTTTTTTAATTAATTTTCTATGTTTAGGGTATTATAAAAAAATTACAAAAATTTATAAAAAAGGTGAAATTACCATATATAAATTTATAAACCATACAAAAATCAAGTAAGAGTAATAAAAAATAGATTTTGTAAATCAAATTTTGAAGATAAACGTGTTTTTTTATAAAATTATAAAAATGTTTGTAAAAAAATTATGAAATATGTATTTTTAAAATAAAAAAGGTTGGAAAAATATTTGTTGACTTAAAAGAAGAGAGATTCAAATTGTTTTTGTAAAATAAGTTAATAAAAATTAAAAAGTGTGATTTTTTATGAAGATAAAATAACTAAAATTGATCATTTGTTAGAAAAAAAAAATATTCTTAACTCTAAGTAAGCTAATAAATAAAACTATAGTGAATGCTATGCGGAAATTTGGCTTTGAACCAAATTTTAAAGGATTTGCGGAAATGCATTGTGCTTGGCATAGAGGTGGTGTGTCATGGGAAAACACAATGTATTCGTGCGTTTTTCGGAAGCATAAGGTGTTTCCTCTGCCACGTATAAAAGATGTTTTCAACTATTTTATGGATATATATAAAGGAAGAAGGGGTTGAAATCATATTGAGAGGACTTTGAAGAAATAAATGTATGGTGTTTGTTTTGGATTGGGTCTGTACTTGGCCCAATTTTATACGAGTGTCAATTCAACTATGTTGTTTGAAGAGGCTTGCTGACTGAGTTTGTCCCCAACTATGTCGGACAGTAATCTCACCCTTCGTGAAAACGCGGTTTCGCCGTACGGGGATAAGTTTAGGAATCGCGATGAGGCTCGTCGTCGATCAGGAGGACCTCGCGAGCATCATCCACTCTTCTCGTCGACCAAGGCAAGCCCTCTTGGACGACCTCACTGCTGGCGGGGAGGGCTCACGACGACAAAAGGACGCCCCGAACTTCCTCCTCGTAGGATTGACTCACCACACCTCCGAATATCACGGAGTCCTCTTGGTCCCGAAAAGACCGCATCCATATCCTCCTGACTATTCGGGGGAGTGCATCCAAGTTGGAGACCACATGTTGGCCCTACTACGCGCATAAAACCTGGCAGTCTCCATTTTGGGCTTGCTTGCCCAGCCTAACAATGGGGATCTTGGCCCAGCGTTGGGGGCTATAAATACTCCCTCTCTCTCTCTCTCTCTCTCTCTCTCTCTCTCTCTCTCTCTCTCTCTCTCTCTCTCTCTCTCTCTCTCTCTCTCTCTCTCTCTCTCTCTCTCTCTCTCTCTCTCTCTCTCTCTCTCTCTCTCTCTCTCTCTCTCTCTCTCTCTCTCTCTCTCTCTCTCTCTCTCTCTCTCTCTCTCTCTCTCTCTCTTGAGAGGGTCAGGTATTCACTCTTTCATACTCACTCCCATACTTGCTTGCACTGCTCTGAATCTTACATTGACATCAGAGTGTCTTGCAGGTACCCCCAAACTCACTTCCAGTTGCTGCTCAACTCACAACTCATAGGCCTTGACGATCCACTCTGGTTAGGTACGATCAGTGGCGCCGTCTGTGGGAAACAAGTTTCCCCGTATTTCATTAACCCAAGACTAAAGCAATTCTTCAAACTCTTTTGATTGTCATGGTCGACCCAGCTACCAACAACAATATAGACGCCCATCTCGTCGACCTCAACAACAACGTCATCGACAACATGGGTAACAACAACAACAATAATGGGAACAACGTCGACATGGCCGGTCTCGTGCAGAATTATAGAGACGGAATGATCGCCTCTTCATCGTCACGCTCTCGACCACACGAGGGCACCCATCCGCCCCAAAACTACGAGCTGAACATTTTCCAGGAGGTCTTCGTCCCCCCAGGCGTTGATGCCACGACCAGGGCTCTGTTTGCGGTTATTAACCAGACGAATTACTTGATCTTCTCGCAAGGTGAGCAATTAAGGGTGCTCGTAGACTCTCGTCGAGCCCTCAGAAGACATAAAAGACCTGACATTCCACCTCCTCGTTAGAATAAAGACTGTCTTCAATCTCCCCCGCGGAGACACAGACGGGACAGGTCATGAAGCCCCTCTCCTCGACGGACTGGCCGATACCCCGAGCTAGAGAGAACCATGCCCGAGGCTACCGGGAGACGCAGCCTCACCCCCGCGCAGAGAACAACGATCCCCCGAAAACAGAAATAGAGGCAATGTAGAAGCGCATCCTCGACCAAGGGATCCTCCCCGAGGCCAAGGACATCACTACGACTGTCACTACAACTGGTCTCCTTCCCACTCCCCATACAAGAGCGACAAAGACGACCCTCGCGGTCCTTTATCACAAGCAATCATGGAGGCGCCCATTCCCAGGGGAATGGAGAAGCCTCCCCAACTGAAGGAATATGACGGTTTTGCTGACTAAGTCGACCATATCGACGGGTTCAAAGTAATGCTCCACTATCATAACGCTGCGGGACCGATCAAATGTCGATTGTTCCCCACGATCTTGAGAAAGACTGCAATGGACTAGTATAAGAATATCCCCCCAGGGTCAATCACCTCCTTGAGGAACCTAAAGATCCAATTCATCAGCTCCTTTACAGTGTCTCATCGACACCCGAAGACTGAGACTGCCCTTGAGGCTATCGTCCAAAGAAGCGACGAAACCCTCAGGGAATTCATCAATCAGTTCAACTGCGAGACCATTCAGGTCCCATGCACCGATAACATGAAGAGATATTTGTTCGAGAGAGGACTCCTCTCGGGCACAGAGTTCGGGAAGGCCGTCGGCATCGAACCACCTCGGACTTTCGATGCTCTTCTCAAAAAATCTAGGGCCTATATGGACTACGAGGAGAGGGAAGCAGCCAATAGAGCTCGCGACCCAAGGAATCGTGGATCGACCAACACCCTGCTACACCAAGACGCAGGCCCTCCTCAATGAACAGGCGAGAAGAGAAGGGATGATAAACCGCGAGATCCCCGCGAGCACATGGGACCCGCAGGGAGATTCACTGAATACACTCTGCTGACAGCTTCCCGCTAGCGTACATTGGTGGAGTGTGCTAATACCGACTTCAAGGACGGTGGTGTCAAACATCCTCGCTTTGCTTCTATGAAGCTTGGGGCTGACAGGAGCAAATATTGTCAGTGCCATTGAAGTCACGGGCACCTGACTAAATATTGTGTCCATCTCAAATACGCCATTAAAACCTTCATCGAAGGTGGCAGACTCGGGCAATATCGACGTAATTACGCCCCTCATCGAGATGCCCGCGAGACAAAAGAAGTCGAGAAGGACACCCGACCAACAGATGAGACGGCCCCCATCCAGATAGCTTTCTCCGTTATAAGGCCGGAGGACTTCTACATCCCTGACAGATACGAGGAAGAACCTTTGTCCATGCACAGTAGGTGGGAGAAATTCCCCTCCGCCATGGTTATAACTAGAGAGGGGATCAACGACGTCTCCATAAACTCCACAAAAAGAAAGCTCGGCGAATTGGTCGTCGCAGCCCCGACTCAAGCGGTGACATTCGAGAAGGTCAAGGGTAGATTAGAACCAATCATGTTCTACCTCAAAGAATTGCCTGGAGGAGCCCCCAACTCGAGCATCCCTCTGCTAGTGAGGGAAAGAATGGCTAATTTCGAAGTTCACCGCGTCTTGGTCGATGAGGAGAGTTTTGTCGATGTTATGTACAACCATCTGTTCCGAACCTTACAACTCGACGACATCCACCTTTCTCTATACGTGGGGTCCGACCTGCAAGGCTTCAATGGCTCGACCTCCAAACCGTGGGGGCACGTTAAACTTTTCGTCACCTTTAGGGAGGAAACCGTATCCTGGAAAATCAAGGTGCAATTTCTGGTCATCGACTGCCCGTCTCTCTACAACTGCATCCTAGGGAGATCAACGTTGGCCGAATTGACCGTTGTACCCTCCACCGTTCATCTAAAGATGAAATTCTACACAAGGAGGGGACGCGTCACAGCGATATATCAACTTCCTGAAGATGTTTTAACGCGGCTTCTAAGGGACAAAGTACGGTCGACACTGGGGCACAGCCGTCCAAGAAAGCCGCTACTACTCGACCTGAACCACAACCTGTTAAGACGGAAAAACAAAGGGCTCCACCCAAGGTCGACTCCATCCCGCTCGAAACCCACTTCGACGAGGATGAAGCCCTCAATGGTGAGCAGGAACTCCTCCGCCCAATCCCAGGTGGAGACTTCGAGTTCGTCCCCCTCGGTGAAGACCCTCACAAAGGCGTGAAGATCGGCACCGGATTCCCTGACTTGGCGAGGAAGCATATCAAAACTTGCTTGAGAGAGAACGTGGACATGTTTGCATGGAGCGCTGCGGAGATGCCCGGGCTCGACCCCAAGGTCTTCTGTCACCAATTGACCATTGATCCAGCCGTTATGGCAGTAGTACAACATAGACGTAGGCAGTCTCCTGAGAAAGCGGGGGCTGCTGAAAATGTTGTAAAAGACCTCCTAGAGGCTAATTTTATTTCCGAGGCCCGGTATTCAACCTAGCTCTCAAATGTTGTACTTGTTAAGAAAAATAGTGGAAATGGAGAAGGTGTGTTAACTATAT